TAGTCAGGGCGGTTAGGGATGCTTTGGGTGCAGAAGTAAGAAACACAGAGCGGCGAACTGTCCTCAGAGGGGTGGTACTGACACTCGGGTGTGCATATCAAGCTCCAGTATCCTAAGTTACAGTAGAGAGAGGTGGCAGTGGTGGTAGCAACAATAGCAATACCGCCGGAGAGGCAGATCGCAACGGCACCACGGATGTACTCCAACAGAGAGGTGGGTAGACCGAGTACCAGGCCGATCACAGGTAAACTTCAAGATTTATGGATTTTAAATTCTAGTTGTTTGTGAATTGTGTTATTATTTTTTTGTACTGTGTTAAGGTTCATAACATGAGAGAATTGTGTAGGGACCTTAATTGTGGGAGGCATTGAGTCTTACGTGCTATTTGATTCTAGAGCGTTGCATTGTTTTGTGACTCCAGAGTTCGCCGAGCGAAGCGGTATTATGGGAGAACTCGACGAGCTTTTCAGAGTCGTTAAGGTTGCTGGAGGGAAGTTTTTGGCTGTTCAGGGTCAAGCTAAAACCGTGGATGTTCAGGTGGCCGGGGAATCTATGCTGACAGATTTGATCATTTGTGCAGTGGAGCTGTATGACGTCATCTTGGGCATGGATTAGCTCAGGAATTAGATGGTACATTAGGATTGCCATCGAGGGCGTGTCTTTATCGAGAGGGAGAAGAGAAGGTTGGTCTATCAGGGTGTGAGGCCGACTTTTGGGAGTCTCGTGATCTCGACCGTGCAGGAAGAGAAGATGATCGAAAAAAGGTTGTGAGGCCTAACTAGCGACAATCGTGACCCCATAGACAGTTGGAGCAGTTAGGGTTGGAGATATTCGGGTCACTCAAGAGTTTGAGGATGTTTTTCAGTTGCAAGGGTTACCGCCATCACGGTCAGATCCTTTGACGATTGAGTTAGAACCAGGGACGATGCCAATATCTAAGGCACGCTACAGGATGGCTCCAACAGAGATGGCAGAGCTGAAGACGCAGTTAGAGGAGTTATTGGGTAAAGGTTTTATCCGGACGAGTAGTTCACCATGTAGAGCATCGGTGTTGTTTGTGAAGAAAAAGGATGAAAGTTTTCTGTTATGCATTGATTACCGGAGACTTAACCGAGTTACAGTGAAAAAAAAATATCCTTTACCACTTGTTGGATCAGCTGAGAGGGGCTACTTGGTTCTCCAAGATCGATTTGGCGTCAGGTTATCACCAGTTTCTGATTGATGAGGCAGATGTTTAAAAGACAGTGTTCTGGACAAGATATGGACATTGAGAGTTTGTGGTGATGTCGTTTGGCTTGACTAATGCACCAGCAACATTTATGAGGTTGATGAATGGTGTGTTTCTGGATCACATGGATGAGTTAGTGATAATTTTTATATACGACATTCTGGTGTATTTAAAGAGTTCTGAGGAGCATGAGGTACACTTGAGAGTTGTTTTGGAGAAGCTGCGGGAGCAGAAGCTGTTCGCTAAGTTGAGCAAGTGTAGTTTCTGGCAACGGGATATTGGTTTCCTAGGACACATTATTTCGGCGATTGGGGCGTCTGTTGATCCAGAGAAGATTTAGGCTAACAGGGAATGGCCGAGGCCGAAGAATGCTACGGAGATCCAAAGTTTTCTTGGCTTAGAGGGATATTACCGGTGATTCGTCAAGGGTTTTGCGAGTATGGCTCAAGCTATGATGAAGCTGACCGGGAAGGATGTTCCTTTTGTGTGGTCTCTAGAGTGTGAGGAGGGTTTCACGAACCTAAAGGCGATGTTGACGAGCAAACCAGTCTTGGCGTTGCCAGGGCAGGGCGAGCCATATGTGGTGTATACGGATGCATCGAGAGTGGGTCTCAGATATGCGTTAATGTAGCAGGAGAAGATGATTGCCTATGATTCACGGCAGTTGAGGAAGCATGAGGGCAACTATCCTACCCATGATCTTAAGATGGCTGCTGTTTTTTTGCCTTGAAGATTTGGAGATCTTATCTTTATGGCAGGAAGGTCAGGTGTTTACAGATCACAAGAGCTTGAAGTTCATCTTTACTCAGCCAGACCTGAATCTGAGACAGCGGAGATGGATGGAGTTGGTGGCAGATTATATAACTACAAAAAAACCTGCGTTTTGCAAATAAACTTTGCGACCGAATTATTAGTCGCATATGTTTGCGACTATTTTGTGACCTCTTAACGGCCATTTACCGACCACAATATTTACCGATGGAATATAGTCGCTATTCCGCGACTTAAACAAATATTCTTTACTTGGTCGTTAATTAGCGACGATTTTAAGACCGATTACAGACTAATTTATTATAGTCGCAAATGGGTGGCCGATGTGCGACAGATGTGCGACTCAACTTTTGGTCTGAAACGATCGTCGCAATGTAGTCTCAAATGTGCAACTAGTTAACAACCACCTATTATAGTTACACTTTTGTTGTAGTTAAGAAGAGTTGGCACAAAACACGTTAAAATGCGCGAAAGTGACCGGTTTGCGACTAGCACCTGAAGATTTTGCGACTGACACCTGATAAAGCGACCGGTTTGCGACGAATTACCAACTATCGATTTTTGTTTTTACAAATTTCACATTTTAAATTTGTTTGCATATAAAGTTAAACAATTCTACCCTTATTTGATGTTACTTAGTAATAAAATCTTAATCAAAGTCATATATATTGATGTTTACAAACAAAACATTCAAAACTACCAAATCTCTTTGTCTTGTTACATTACTCTTATGAGTAATGTTTAGGGATTTAGTAAAATATCTATATTACTTGAGTTTTGCCAAAAATTTCAACTTTAAACTAATATATGTCCTCTATAACACTATTTTGAGTGTTTTTGAGTGATATATATATCACCATTTTGGATCACTGTGTAGATTTCTAAATTTTTTCTTGTGACTAATAGATAACAGTCACAAAACAGTCGCACTATTGCCACCATTTTGTTACCATTGTTCATTTTGGGACTATGTTGCGACAACAGTTGCGACTATTTGTCAACCAATGTTGCGACTAATTTGGTACTCTTATGAGTAATGTTTAGAGATTTAGTAAACTATCTATATTACTTGAGTTTTGCAAAAAATTTCAACCTTAAACTAATATATGTCTTCTATAATACTAATATGAGTGTTTTTGAGTGATATATATCACCATTTTGGATCACAATATGTAGATTTCTAAATTTTGGCTTGTGACTAATAATAACAGTCACAAAACAGTCGCAACAGTGCCACCATTTTGTAACCATTGTTCATTTTGCGACTATTTTACGACAACTATCGCAACTATTTGCCGACCAATGTTGCGACAATTTTGGTACTAATTGTGAAATTTCTAAGATTTATGGTAAGTGTTTGGGCGATTTCGATTTCCCCCCAATTTTTTTATTTGACTCCGTTGTGCAACTAAATAGCGACCAAATGTGAAATTCATAAGGGTATAATGTTTAGGGATTGAGTATAAATTCTATATTACTTATGTTTAGGGTATAATGTTTAGGATTTTGCAAAGTTTTTCAACCTTAAAGCAATATATGGTCCTCTATAACAAACAAAAAAATCTAAAACGTATTATATATACTAATGTCTCTACCAATCTACCGATTAAGTATTCTGGCAATTTGGCAACATACTTTCCTTTACACTTATAGGACAATGGTTTGAATCTACCCAAGTTTTTCGTACATTTTAAATGACATCGCTAATCAGTCGCAAATTTTAAATGACGTCGCTAAACAGTGCGACTAATTTGCGACGAACATATATTGAAACTCTTGTTCTCGACCAATTTTTTATTTTAGTCGCTAAATAGTAAGTATTTTGCGACTAGCACCTGAAGATTTTGCGATTTTTTTGCGACTAGCACCTGAGATAGCGACCTTTTTGCAACTATTTAGCAACTCTCGATTTTTTTTTCTCAATTTTCACATTTTAAATTTGTTTGCATATAAAGTTAAACAATTCTACACTTATTTGATGTTACTTAGTAATAAAATCTTAACAAAGACATAAATATTGATGTTTACAAATAAAACATTCAGAACTACCAAATCTATTTGTCTTGTTACATTACTCTTATGAGTTATGTTTAGGGATTTAGTAAAATATCTATATTACTTGGGTTTTGCAAAAACTGTCAACCTTAAACTAATATATGTCCTCTATAACACTAATATGAGTGTTTTTGAGTAATATATATCACCATTTTGGATCACAATGTGTAGATTTCTAAACAGCCGCAACATTGCCACCATTTTGTAACTATTACCAATGTTGCGACTATTTTGCGACAACGGTTGCAACTATTTGCCGACCAATGTTGCGACTAATTTGGTACCCTTATGAGTAATGTTTAGAGATTTAGTAAAATATCTATATTACTTGACTTTTGATAAGTTTTTCAACCTTAAACTAATATATGTCCTCTATAACACTAATATGAGTGTTTTTGAGTGATATATATCATTATTTTGGATCACAATGTGTAGATTTCTAAATTTTGTCTTGTGACTAATAGTCGACAGTCACAAAAGAGTTGCAAAATTGCCAATATTTTGTAACTATGGTTCATTTAGCGACTACATTGCGACAACTCTTGTAACTATTTTCCGACCAATATTGCGACTAATTTGGTACTAATCGCGAAATTTCTAAGATTTTTGCTAAGTGTTTGGGCGATTCGATTTCCCCCCAATTTTTTTTATTTGTCACTAGGTTGCGACTAAAGAGCGACCAATATACTTAATTATTAGGTTAAAACAAACTCTATTCTTCACTTTCTCATTTCCCCCAAATTTAGATCTAGGGTTTTCATTTCTCTCTCAAACTCGCGATTTGCGATTCTTCTTCTCCAAACTCCTCAAAATCCCTTAAATCGTCTCAAAACTCTTAAATTTCTTCGAATCTCAAACCCAAAATTCGTTCCTTTCCTCTGGGTTCGAATCGATTGTCCCAAACCCTAAATTTCGACTCAAATCTCAGTGTATTTCTGCGATTTTCATGGCTCCTAAAGGTAAATCGTCACGAGGCCGCGGTGGGGGCAAGAACACGAGAGCAGCAGCCGCTGGAGGAGGCCAGAAGGCCAAAGCAGTAGCCGCTGGAGGAGGCGAGGACTCTAGAGCAGTAGCCGCTGATCCACGCGAGAACAATAGAGCAGCAGCCACTAGAAGAGGCGAGACCAGTCGCCGCGGAGGCGGCCAGACCAGTAGCCATGGAGGAGTCCAGACCAGTAGTCGCGGAGGGGACCAAACCAGTAGCCGGGGAGGAGTCCAGACCAGTAGCCGCGGAGGGGGTCAAACCAATAGCCATGGAGGAGTCAGAACCTATGTTGGTCAGAGACCACCACTCACTACGAGTGGGGTCGGAACATCTTCTCACTCATCAAACCCATCAGCGACACAGTCTGCGACCCAATCCCATGGGACTCGTCCTCTCAGTATACAGTCTCCTCCTCCTTAGCCGCAGCATCAGCCACAACAACCGCTTCCTCCTCTCCAGCCTCTACCGGAAGATGATGCGAATCTCCAAGGCTCACCTGAATAACAAAACCAACTCCATGGAGAAGAAGAGGATGACGAACAGGACGCTGATCCAGCTGGAGACTACCAAGACATGCTGGATCGTTTACTAGCCTTTGCAGGCCGAGAAAATCTACCTCTTCTGTCTAGACACCCAATACCAGGCGTTGAAACACTCTGGTACTAACTCTGTCCCTCTGTCTAGTAGTTAATTTTGTTAGTTGTTGTTGTTCTGTTAATCGCATTGGTTTGACAATTGTTAGTTGTTGTTGTTCTGTTTCTAATTTGCTAGTGATTGATTCATTTAAGCATCATATAATTTGAATGTGTTTTATGGTCTCTAAATAGAGATGTTTCTGTCCCAAGTTTGTAGGATATGTTTGTTCTGTGAGAATCCTTTTTGCTATATCTGCTTTCATCTGACTGATTGTTATTGAAAACCTTCACAGTCTCTCTTAGCTTGAAATAGAGGATTGAAATCTAGACGTTTCAGTCCCAAATATGTATGCTATGTTTGTTCTGTGAGAATCCTTTTGCTATATCTAATCTCTTGTGCTTGATTTATATGTTGAAACAGAGATTGGGTATTGTTGTTTATTAGTCTATATGAAAGCTGCTTTATGTAGACTAATAGCCTGTTATTGTAACAGGTTTAACCGGCAAAAGGGTGTGCTGTCCCGAGCAATTTCCAGAATATTTAGGAGGAAGTTTGATGGGCCTTACTACAGCTGGAAGGTTACTCCAATAGACATACAAGAGAGATATTTCAGAACCTTTGCGGTAATAATGTTTCTATATTAATGTCATTCTCTTTTTGCTGTAGTATATAGAATGTTACTAACTTACTGTTTGTGTTATGTAGCGGGAGTTTAATTGGGATTCTAGGATTAGTGGCCTTGTGAGAGCAGGATTCTTTGTTATAGCCAAGAAACGGATAAAAGGGATTATTAGTCAAGTGAAGAAGACAGGTGTACAACCAACTTGGATTCGTAAGACACTTTGGGCTGAGATGCAGCGGTTTTGGAAAACTGCTGATGCTATAGAGAGGAGTGAGAATGCTTCACAATGCAGAAATTCTGATCGTGGCGGACTTGGAGTGCACAAACACTTAGCCGGTCAGAAATCTTTTATCCAAGTTCACCAAGAGATGGTAAGATGTTTCTTTCCATCCAAACACTTTACTTTCACAGAATTTTTAATATTTCTACACTTGATAATCTATTTGTCTTTTATTTTAGGAGGAAGAGTTGGGGCGTCCAGTTTCACTTAGTGTATTATTTATGAGAACGAATACTAGAGCTGATGGATCTTTTATGGATCAAAAGTCTAAACAAGTTGTTGAGGCGTATATGAAGACACTTTAAGAGAGATTGGCTGAACTGGAAGAAGAGGGTCAGGATACTACAGAGATTTCCTCTGAACATTCTCAGCATTACTGAATGTTTGTTTTTGTCTTTACTTTAATGAATGTTTTTACTTTACTGAATATTTGTTTTTTTTTTGTTTCAGTGTACTCATATAGATGACCAAGGCAACCCTTATGGCCTTGGATCTCTTGCGGAGAGTTATGAAAAAGGAAGGAGAGTTATGCAAGCTCTTCTTCTACAGTTACAGTTGTTGAGCTTCAAGAGCAGTTACGGCGCAAGATCTCTGATCAGGATGCTGAAAATGCAAGATGTGATGCGGAGCACCGCACATCTCAAGCTCGGATCGCCAGCTTGGAGAAGCTCATCCTCTTTATGAAAGAAAAGGATCCTGACTTAGCAGCCTTCATGTCTTCTTCTCCACTCCTGCAACCAGAAGTCATCATACCACCTAGCACACAAACAGGCACCCTTTCAACAACCACAGAAGCAGCAATCCAACCAGCATGACTCGCACCTACTGAAACCACACCAGCCTCTCCTTTATCTAACACTGATTCAAACCCTATGAACTAGTTTTTTATTTGCATATGTTTTTGTGTTGTATAATACTTTGTTAGGATGGTTTTTATTAGTGTTTTTGAATGATGGATTATGAGTAATGTGAAATCAGTATTGCAGGTTTGGGATTATTTGTTGAAAGCGATTTTGCAGGTTTGGGATTATTAACGTGTAACCAATCTGTGACCAAACTAATTAACAAATGTGACCAATCTGTGACCAAACTAATTAATAAATGTGACCAATCTGTGACCAAACTAATTACAAGAAACTCCAAATCTAGTATCAAAATGTTTACTAATAGAAGACTCTTTTGCTACACAACAATGAGAGTCTTAAATTGGTCGCAAACTATTAAGACTCTTTTACGACTAAATTGGTACTAAAAGATATATCGTCTGTGACTAATGTGGGACTAAATATTCGATCCAAGAACTTTTTCGTTTGAACCGAACAAGTCGCAAACTAGTTGCTAACTTACATTTGTCGCTCTTTAGTCGGAAATTTACAACGACATTAGCTCATCACAGATTAGTTGTTAATATGCGACGCTATAATTTATGTTGGAAAACCGTCGCAAATTAGCGACTATCTTAGTTAGTCGGGAAAGCATCGCAAAACCCTATTTTACGACCGTTTTGCAACAAATATGGGAGTCGCAAATGACGTGTTTTCTTGTAGTATAATTATAATCTGGAGATAGCTTACTATCCCGAGAAAGCTAATTTAGTTGCTGATTCTTTAAGCCGGAAGCGAGTGGCTTCGGCTCAAGAGCGTGACTTGGAGTCATTGGTTTATGAGATCAGTACGTTGAGATTATGTGCTACTTCGTAGGAACCATTGGGTTTGAAAGCAGCTAATCATGCAGATCTTCTGTGCAGGGTGTGATTGACTCAGCAGTTAGATGAGGCACCGATTAAGGATTCCAAGGTTGAGGGTTCTGAGTATCAAGTCTTTGCTAATGGGATGATTCTAGTGCACGGACGAGTATACATGCCTAGAGACAAGAATTTGAGGCAAGAGACCTTGATTGAGGCTCATGCGAGCAAGTTTTCGATTCATCCAGGGGCGACTAAGATGTACCAATATCGGAAACGGTATTATCACTGGGTCGGGATGAAGAAAGATGTTGCTAGGTGGATTGCAGCTTGCGATGTGTGTCAGTTAGTGAAGGCTGAGCATCGGAATCCAGGTGGTTTGTTGCAGAGTTTACCCCTTCCAGAGTGGAAGTGGGATATGATTACGATGGATTTCGTGGTGGGGTTGCCTACTTCTCGGACCAAGGATGCTATATGGGTTATTGTTGATCGTCTGACGAAGTTAGCGCAGTTTTTGGCCATAAAGAAGACCGATGGGACTGAGGATTTGGCTAAAAATTATGTGCAGGAGGTAGTGAGACGTCATGAAGTACCTATGAGTATAGTGTCAGACCGGAACCCTAAATTCATTTCAGCATTCTGGAGGGCGTTCCAGGCGGAGATGGGTACTAATGTGCATCTGAGTACAGCTTATCATCCTCAGACGGATGGACAATCTGAGAGGACCATTCAGACTCTTGAGGATTTGCTGAGGATGAGTGTACTGGATTGAGATGGTCATTAGGCGGATCATCTAGGCTTGATGGATTTTTCTTATAATAATAGCTACCAAGCAAATTTTAGGATGACTCCTTTTGAGGCGTTGTATGGGACACCATGTCGTACACTTTTATGTTGGACCTAAGTGGGAGAGATGAGTCTTTATGATGAAGGTTTTGTAAAGAAGACCTCGAAGAAGATTCGGGTTTTGAAGCTAAACATGAAAGAAGCTCAGGATTAGCAAAAGAGTTATGCTGATAAGTGGAGGAGAGAGCTTGAGTTTGAGGTGGGAGAAAGTGTCTATCTCAAGATGGCGATGTTGAGGGGTCCAAACAGGTCCATAACCAAGAACAAGTTGAGTCCGAGGTATATGGGTCCGTTTAAGATTGTTGAGCGAGTTAGACCGGTTGCTTATCGGTTAGAGTTATCGGAGATTATGCAGGCATTTCATAAGGTTTACAATGTGTCGATGCTGAAGAAGTGCTTGCATAAGGATGATGAAGTATTGGCTAAGATTCCCGCAGATCTTCAGCCCAACATGACCTTGGAGGCAAGGCCAGTGAGGGTTCTCGAGAGGAATGTAAGGCATGATCGTCGGAAAAAGACGCTGATGATCAAGGTTTTGTGGGATTGTGATGGTGTTGAGGAGAAAACTTGGGAACCAGAGGCGAGGATGAAAGCGAGATTCAAGAAGTGGTTTGAGAAATAGGCGGAGGCTTGAGCTTATCATCGATGATCCCAGTTTCAGATATTGAGAATTTTGTTTTTGTTATTTCATTATGTAATTAGCTTAAGATTGTAACGATTGTTGCATTTTAGAGTTTTAATAAGATCAGTATTTTTTATGGACTGATGACTTGTGATGTCATGAAAAATTTAAGAAACATGAGATTCTAAAACGAAATCCTAAGAAAAATTAAAACTTAACTTATACTCGGGAAGAGAGTATGTGAAATAGCCTGAGTGACTGGGATGTTTCTGATGGCTTGAGAGAGTGGTCATTGTTGAGATGGTATTTCAGAGTGGGAATATGGGTGATGAGTATGACATTGCGATGTTGCATGCGAACCACGTAGGGTAGTTCTGGTCGGAGATGCTTTTAGACACATAGACATGATTTCTTAGAGGACGGTTTGGTCCTAGAAAACTCGTTAGGAAATGAATACTTTCTCTGGTAACGAGAGCTCGTAAAGTTATACAGTCCAGAGTTTAACTGGTATGGATATTATACCCAGAGCGCGTAAGGTTATATAGCCCAGGGTGTGAGTGGTACGGATATGATACCTAGAGCTCGTAAGATTATACGAACCAGAATGAGAGTGGTATGAGTATGATACCCAGAGCTCGTAAGGTCGTACGGTCCTGAGTGAGAGTGGTATGAGTGTGATACCGATAGCTCGAGGGACTCTGGGGCCTGAGATTGAGAGTGGTATGGAGTA